CAATTTAGAGTTAAATTCTTTACGAAAATTATATAAGAATGTAGCCAGAAGTTCCAGCTTTGCAAAGAAATTCTAAAAGTTCACAAATTGTTTACTGAAATTGAGTAATTAATAAGTTTTCACTGCCGGGGCCATTCTATCCTTTTCTATCCCCACTCTGTCCTTATCTACCACGTGACCAGCTCATCGACGACCTCCTTGCCTATTCTATATTCCTATCACTTTCTTGATTTTTGAGCCCAAATCATAGATGGCGCTGATAGCAGGCGGTAAAATTTTTTATTTATTCGGCAGTAGAAAATTAATAAATTCCCAAGTTTTTGTAATTAATTCATGAACATTTATAGCTGCACAGCAAAGTTGAAATTATAGGCAACATTCTTATAGGCTGTTTAATTTAATAATTAATACTTACATGAGGGATATGTTTTGTATTTCCTGTAGTAAATAAGATTGCTATAGAAAAGCATTTTTCTCGCATTATATTGTTATTATTTTGTAATAAATATATACTAGCATACGAAAGCGTAAAAAATAATCTTTTTTATTAAGAAATTTTATTTATAATTGCGTATTTACAATGTTTTCATAGGCGAAAAATAAATACAAAATAAAAAATATATTGAAAAAAAAATTATAAAAACTCTCGACGGGAATCGAACCCTAGTTCTCCAATATATCAATTCTCGATCGTTACCGTTACGCTACAACTTAACTTTAAACAAACTGGAAATAAATGTATAATAGGGAAGTAATAAAATTGTATTCGCAAATATCTCAAAAACTATTGAGTATTTCCAGCTATAATGATATATTTTCTTAAACTGCATGACAATATCTACAAAGCTGCAAAATTTCAACTAAATCGGTGACCCGAAGGACTTGCACCCTCCTTGTAAGTAAGGAATGGAATGCAGGTAAGTGAAGGTAAGTAAGCAAGGTAAGTATAAGGTAAGTAAAATAATTAAAATGTCCTGAAAAGCAAGAAAATTATTGTCCAGAGAATTCTTGGAAATGTCATTTCTTGGAACTGTCGCGGCGAGCGACCTCCTTTCATGTTATGTTCTCCTGATACAAAATCGTGAAATTGGCCAGAAACATTTCCTTGAAGCGGCAAAAGTATTGTCCGAGAAATCTTGGAAATGACGAAATTTCTTGGAACTGTCTCTGTGAGCGACCTCCTGTCATATTATGTTCTCCTAATACAAAACTGCAAAATCGGCCGAAAATTTTACGACGAGGCGGCAAAAGTATTGTCCCAGAGGCGGCAAAAGTATTGTCCCAGAGGCGGCAAAAGTATTGTCCCAGAGGCGGCAAAATTATTGTCCCCAGAGGCGGCAAAAGTATTGTCCCCAGAGGCAGCAAAAGTATTGCCCACGAGGCGGCAAAGGTATTGTCCGGAGAATTCTTAGAAATGACGTCATTTCTTGGAACAGTCTCGGCAAACGACCTACTGTTTTATTATGTTCTCCTGATACAAAATCGCGAAATCGACCGAAATTTTTCGGCGAGGCTGCAAAAGCATTGTCCGGAGAATTCTTGGAAATGACGTCATTTCTTGGAACAGTCTCGGCAAACGACCTCCTGTTATATTATGTTCTCCTGATACAAACTCGCGAAATCGACCGAAATTTTTTAACGAGGCTGCAAAAGTATTGTTCAGGGAATTTTTGGAACCGTCTCAGCGAACGACCTCCTTTCATCTTATGTATTCCTAATAGAAAATCGCGAAATCGGTCAAACATTTCTCGCCGAGGCTGCAAAAGTATTGTCCAGGGAATTCTTAGAAATGACATCATTTCTTGGAACTGTCTCGGCGAACGACCTCCTTTCATCTTATGTATTTCTAATACAAATTCGTGAAATCTGCCAAAATTCTTCGGTGAGGCTGCAAAAGTATTGTCCAGGAATTCTTGGAAACGTCTTATTTTCGGATAAATATTTTCCAACGACAAGTTAACTCGTCGTCCTCGATTAAAGGGTGGAGGAATAAATTAAGGATTAACCCTTTGACTATGTGGGTGCCTAATGGTGCTCAGAAATCTTGCGCTTGTGATACTGTAGGCGCCTAATGCCGCTCAAAAGTTTTGTTTGCTACTAAATTTTAAGTACGTACAGTAACAATTTAATGCAGAATACAAAGAAATAAATAATGCTGTTTTAATACAGCAGAATATAATGTTTGCATTATTATTTAAATATACGATAATTTCTCAGACATGAACATCTGACGAAAAATTTCACCGTTCTTAGTGTACATCGCAAATGGATTCCTATGGTACAACTGATGCGTTTTAAAGTCTGCCGTAGTCAAAGGATTAATCAGGCTTCGTTAAGGCTTTTATAGCGTTGTCTTTTTTAGTCCAAGTTGCAGGATCTGGCCGGTGCAAACGTAGATGAGGTCCTCGGATGAGGGAAACGGAACAACACCGAATAAACGATAGGTATGGTTCATGGTTGCGGGAACAAAGCCGTGTCCAACGCAGACAGGACCTCGGGTCGATGAAGCAATTAAAATCCGGATCTTGACCGTGCACAGGCAATCGAAGTGATATTCGATTAACGGGTATAATATCCGGGAAACCGGCCAGGGAGTGGCGAAAATGAAACACGTGTGGAGGAGGACCAGCAATTTTCGGCAATCCGATGGAAACTCGATTTCACGTCGAATCCTCTGAAGGAAATTCAGGATCGAGCAGATTACACGAAGGGGTCTAAACGAATTTCTATGCGAAATCTACACAGTGTTTTCCAAAGCAGAGATTCTCGATTTATTTTACTTTCGAAGAAACCGGGTTTTATTTATTCGTCTGTTTGAAGTAGTTTCTAGATCAAAGACGAAGATTTATTAAGAGTATCTTAGTCATTTCGTTTATCGCTTTATTTATTTTCTTCTTGGAAGCAGTTCTTAACCTAAAGGCGAAGTTTCACTGGAACTATTTTTAATTTCCCCTAGAAATGATTTAGTTACTTCTTCACCGTTTTATCGCCTTATTTATGTATTCTTTTCGCTTTTTATTGAAAGCCGAAGCTTTTCGAATACTTTTTCGAATATTTATTAAAAATATTCTAGTAACTTGATAATAAGGTTTTGAAGCTTTCTCCCATGACAGTCAGAATTTCACCTGTGCGTGGAAATCGAGTAATATTCCAAGATGAAATTCTCCATGAATCACCATTCATGCGTGTGGACACACGTGCGTAACATATAGAGTGGTAATTACCCGGTGAAAAATTACGAGTGTAGTTACGTAATCCTGTCAGCAGTTTGTCCTTAAATACTAGGAAATTGGCACAATACCGTTTCGACCAATCGTTACGTAAGGCACGCTCGAAAAAGGGCGGGAAGTCGAGTTCAAACCAAACGACAAAAATAACCTCCGTTAAAAGAAAACGATATTACTCGAAAAATCTTCGTTCGGTCAAATGCAATTTCAATTTTTAAAAACACGAGCTACTTCAATTAATCTATCGACATTTATTTTCAAGAAAATAAAATAAAAATAAAAGTAAAAACAAAAAAGAAACAGGAAAAATAAAAAAAAGAAAAAAAGATTAAAATAAAAAGTACGTTTATTGCAATTTTCAAATACATATTGTGAAAGCAGATTTGTAAAACATTTTAGCGTCAAAGACAAAGTTCATTGCAAAAAGGAAGGAAAGAAACGATTCAACGTGATGGTACAAAACAAAGACCCGCTCACTTCCACTTCCGCCAACAACCTCACTCGGTCGATCCCTATCTCTCTCTAGTCATCGTCCTTAACGCATCGTGTATCTCTCTTTCTCTCTCTTCCGCATGGTTACGTATATATTTCAACCGTAATCGACGAGGAAGATGGCGTCATTGCGCGGTGTTCCCCCTTTCTAGTACGAATAGATCGCGTAAAAGGTGTTTAAAGCAATGACTGTAATCTTCTCGTGTTGTCATTGAATAATCCTCCCCTCCACTCGCAACTGATCGCCTCGTATCTTCCGCGCGATTCGGAGTTGACATACAAGAAAGTTCAACTACGAGGCACGTCAATTGATAGGTCTTCTTAGAAAATTATTAAACATGTTTCGAATAACACGTGTGTTATTATTATATAAACGATAATAATAATAAGTACATTCATAATTACAAACACTGTTACAGATATTAAATTAAACGGTAGTTACATGGTAAAAATTTAAATAATATTTGAAGTCTATTATTATTAAAAAGTAATAGTAAAAGTTCATTATTAGAAGTTTAGGTAATACTAAAGTGTTATATAAAGTATTATATAAAAATCTGGGGAATAATGGAAGTTTATTATTAAAGTGTTGGAGATTATTACCAATTTGTTATTGAAAGTTTGCTATAAAAGGTTTAATAAAAAGTTACTCGACCATTTTAACTTGTTAATTGATCGATCTCAGACACTTGCTCATCTTCCAAGCATAGTGATTTGTTTTTCTCGTGGATCAGTATTTTTCAATGCCTCGCTGCATTCCTATTAGATACTGGTGGTGATTTACACTTGTTAGACTCGGTCTAATAGATGATGATATTTTTTCACAAATTGCTCTATCAGAGGGAGCTTCCGGTTCAAGAGTGACTCAGTTAACAAGCTGATGATCAACAAGATAATTCCAACTGACCTTTCGATGATTCCTTGCGAGTTTATTAAAAAGAAAACGTTAGCTCGAGATAAGATAAGAAAAGATAAAGAAAATAGCAACCGATTCGTTCAAGCAAATATCCACTAGTAAAATAAAACTAGAACGAGATATCAGAACACTGTAGCTGTTTCAATTTTCTTATATATAAACCATCATCGATTGGAGCAATTAGCTAATTACAAAGATATTCGAAAATTCAAATACTTAGATATTTGAACATTCGAAACGGCAAACAATCCGAGCAAATGGTTCCCAGGAAATCAGCTCCATTAAAATCCTCGAGTGACCCAATCCTAGTCCAGTTTCCTCCAATTACACGAACCACTTTAACAGGAAACTTTAACCCACCGCACGCTACTTGGATAAACGAAATTCTCCCTAGTATCTACCATACTCGTCAACCCACCATTCAACCTATCCGAATCCCAATGTTTAAAGGCAATTATCTTCGATGAAAGGCAATTCAAACACCTTGCTATCCCCAAGATCGCACCAAGTCACTGATCATCGTCATAAAAGTTTATCAGAATAAAAAATAGAGGATTTGTAAGAGGTTCCTAGAGTACATCAACGTCTGCGACGTATGAAATAAATAACGTCAATAAGATCCGCGATAGAAAGTAGCTCTTGACCGTGATAATCGGCGAGAAATGACCGCGAACAGCAAAAGCGGCTCGTGGCAGTGGCGGGTATAAGGTCTCGGGAAGTCCCGAAAGCGGCGAGGCCGATTGGCCGACAAGGAACCCCGGTTCGTGCCTCGTGCCATGCCAGCCATTATTACAGCGCAACTGCGCTGTTGCTGCTGCTGTCTCGATCGACCACTCGACAAACGAACAACCACTTGATTCCACGGTGATTCAATGCTACGCTATTGTCTTTCGACGATATTTATTCCTGTTCATAGTGCTCCCTCAGTATCTATCGTTTAAAGTGGCAATTCATTCATCTTCTACGATTTCTTCACGATTTTTACCTGTGTCGTTTTGGAGTAAGAAAGCAAGTTAGTGGAAGAAGTGTGACATTTCTGGTTTTGAGGATATCAGTGGATATTATTGGATATCAGTGGTGCTTAAGAAGGTTGACGATGTGGAGTTTGAAGATGCCCGAAAATTTGTGCTAGAAGAAAATTAAGTATTGTTATTGACCACTGGGGTGTTAGAGTATGCAATCAGTGACAAGAATGTGCAACGCGAAGGAAAATTGAAGATTCGTGAAGATCAAGGTGAGTCCTGAACTCGAGTTCGAGACTCGAAGCTGATTACGTATTTCTCCGTTAATTGCAAGAAAGAAACTTATCTGTCGAGTGTATAAAAACCTCTGCTCTAATATTTACATTATCGTTTCACGCGAGAGATCCTACCACACTGGTCTCCATTTACAGTTTTCTGTCACACTTGTTACCACAACTGACCATTACTGACCTGAATATTTTATATTTTCTAGAATTCCAACGAGATAAAATTCGAAGATACCTTGAAGACGAGAAGAGAAGCTACTTTCATCCAAAATCCAAGTCTTATCGTCACGATTTATCGAAATCAACGGAGAATAAGTCTCTAGAAATCCATATAATATCCGAATATCATTGCAACCACTGCACCAAAACACATGACCCACCGAATATCAACTCGTCCACAAAGGAACTTGAAGATCACAAGTACTCACCTCATCGAACCGCAGAATCAGGCTGTTAAACCTAACGATCCTCCTCGAGAACTTTGAAGGTAGCAACGACACCAGGTTCATCTAAGCGATTATCTATCCGAATCGATGACTGAGAAACAAATCAGCCTGTGAAAACGACGAAACCACTCGCGATTAACGACTCTACTCGTCAAATGAGTAACAACAACTCCGGGAAATCGATCTCGTCGTGTTGCATAAGACACTCCTCGCAGTTTCGATTTACAGAAACAGCTCTACGATTACACAGGTATCGACTGAAAAATAGATCGTGAAAATAGGTGATCATCGCTTGAAAAACATGGTGGTGAAGGAGGCATCGATCAGAAAAATAGCTGGGGACGGTCTGTACGTGAATCTCCATTCGAACGACCAGGTTCTGGAGATCACTGGTGACGGATGTGACATCACGATGTCGAAGAACTGTGGTAGCGTAAAGATCATAGGGGATGGTTGTCGACTGAAGATAAATCAGAACATGGGTGACGTGGAATACATGGGAGATGGTGGCCAGGTCCTTCTGGGTCCAAAGTCAGTTAAGGATAAAGTGAAGTACACCGGTGATGGCGGTAGGATTAAATTCGATGTGGAGTTAAGGATAAGAGACAGGAAGTCCAAGAGAGTTTCAAGACCAGAGACTGAGAAGGAGATGAACGAAGAAAAGAAGGGCACTGAGAGGGATAAGAATGAGTTGAAAAAGGTAGAGAAGGTGGAGAAGGTGGAAAATGTGGAAAATAAGGAAGATGTGGAGAAGGTGGAGAAAGCAAAGACTTCGTCTAACACCAAAAAAGAGGTAAAACGAGGTGAGCCTGAGTGCAAGGAGCAGGAAGAGAAGGAGGAGAAGAAAGAGAAAAAGGAGAAAAAGGAAAAGAAGGGTTGGTCCACGAAGACAAGAATTGTTACGACTTTGGAGTACGATGAGAAGACAGTAAAGAAATGGTTTGCGAAACCGGAAAAAGTAATCAGGACAATGGATGGAACTACATTTGTGAAAATTGTGCCGAAGCAGACGAAAACGAAGATTATAGTGAAATAAAGAAGAAACGCAGAAAATGATAGAAATCTGTAGCCTACAATCTAACTCAAAATCGTGAAATATAGATTTTAATAGTTAGATAATGTGCGAGAAAAATTGGGAAAAAATGGAATTAGTACCTCGAGATTTAAGTTTGGTAAGCAAAAGTTCCTACGCACAAATAGATGGAAATTGCGAAACACGAGTTTCTAAGGAGAATTGTTTGATCGTGAATCGAATGTTTCGATAAGAGTGAGTCAGATGATTAAAGGAGCCCCTTCGACGATTCTTTGAAAAAGAATTTCTTGAAGGAATCGAAGATACCAACAGTTGAGTGAAGAAAAATAATTAAAGAAAATTATCTATTATTCAAAACTAGGTAGAAGGTGAGCGGGAGGAATGCCTATTCGATTGGTCATAATATAACAGGTCCATCTTCTTTAATACAGTTACACACGTATTTTCATTATTGGCAGAAAGTATCACACCTGCAAATGAGATAGAATGATAGAATGATTGGCCTAGAGAATCAGTATTAACTGTTTAACATGAGATAGTAAGATTGTTGAGAAAAACGAAATACTTGCCTGGCACTTGTGCTGTTTTTAGTTCTAATTTCTGAGTTCTACCCAAACTAACAGTGATATATTTTCCAATTTGCAGATATGAAAATTTTAATTAATAATGAAAATTTTTGTATCCTATTTTTGTAATGCTGCTGAAAAAATGTTGCTGTTACATTATAAAAAATTAGATGTTAGCATTCTTTTAGAGTACAAACTTCTGAATTCTTCACGGTAAATGCTCGTGTCACGCAAGAAATGCGGACGATGTTGTAATCGATCAATTTCTCCTTAGTTTTCGTTTTTCACCATGACAAAATAATACCCTTAAATCGAGGTAGAAAACCGATTAAATATTCGTCGACGAATAGGTCAGTGAAAAATAATTTAACTTGTGTTCCATAGAATCTAATTGTTTGAGTTCCTAAACACACAAAATTCGGTCTGTTAATAGCGTATTTATAGAGCATATAATTTTTTACCTGTGTAAGTGACAACTTAGAAAATTTTCATTTACCTATTTATATGTTAAAAATACGGGTACGTCTATGTAGCTAGTTAGCAATATCCTTGTGCATCGACAACAGTTCATTGACGTTCATTACGATAACAACGATAAACGTTCATGCAATATTTATAAGCAATCAGAAAACATCGGTGTGATTAATCGTCAGTATTTCAGCTGCTTCTTGTCTACTTATTGTTATTTTAGTCGTATAACACGTACGATAAGAATAAACACGCTCCACGTGCACGATAACAAATCTTGCAAAGTACTTGCTACAAAATATTTGTATAGCCGGTGAAAATGGTATTGTGCGCTCGTAAAATAACATTGAATATAGCAGGAGTCAGCAGTAACTGGCATTCAACTTGCCTGTGGCGCCACTGGCGTCATGGTGGTCATCGGTGATCGACGTGACTAGCTCTCGACCAACCAGTGGCGCCATGACGGTCATGGGTGACATATGACGTTTCAATATCCTTATTGTTATTACACTGATACAAGCTGCTGGATGCGTCATAAATGTAAAGCATATTTAAATAGATTTATAATGTTCCTAACTGTATACATATTACTTGTGCATATTGACATGTATTCTGGTGGCATAAGTTAGCTGTAAGAATTGTTGAATTATAGGTTATATATAATTCATTAGACATTCAAGTGTTAAATCCTGAACTCGAGCACAGAAATTTTAATTAAATAATAACAGATGTGAATAAGTTACGAACACGTACTTAACAGCTGTGAATGAATTACGAACACGTTCTTATCAAATCGATATATGTATGTTTCGTGTACGCTTAAGCATGTGTTAGTCACACGCGATAAAACGAAATTGGTGGGATATATTGTAGAATATTGTATTAAGAGTTATCTTAATATTTCAAGGTAGAATGAAAAGCATCCCACTGTGCGTGTATAAATACTGAGAAAGCTGTAACGCATAAATATGCTGTATATCATTATGCTTGAAGAATTAAGTGAGAACATCCATTGATCTAGCCGCGCATAGGACTGTACATACGCACCCAGGAACCCGTATCTTAAATGGCTCAATGAAAGACCATAGGAAAAAATAATTGAACTAATTCTAAGTTATCTGTATGTATGGATTCTGAGTATAATCCTGACTAATTCAGAACATTTTAGAACTTTTTAAATTTCTGTTTCAGGGTCACAAATTTTACGAGCGCACGATAATAGTTCCACAATATTAGTAATAGTAGTTAGTATTAATTATGCTAAATATTAGTTAGTAAAGAAAATTTTATCTCCATTTATTCGTACCTCATACTCGTGTACTACCTCGCCTATTTTTCTGACGTACTTATATTTATGAGCTTTTAACGAATTTAGAAATGGAGCAGTATTCTGTCAAATAAACTCGTACATATAGTGTAAACTGACCTCACAAGTGAGGTCAGTGAAAATAGGCCTGTCAAAAGTTGGATATCATTACACGTTACATGTAATCCAAGAATTTGGAACAGAAACGTCTGGACATTCTTTTGATTTGAAAACCTTTCTAGTCAAATATCTATCGCAATAAAAGAAATGTATGGATACCTGAATGATGATATGAATTTCAAAACGTTAAGAAAATTAATGGAAGAATCAGTATACATATAATTGGAAAAATGATTTCAAACTTTTGGCTAGTAGTATAATTTGGCCAGGATATGTGTAATTAATGGATGAAAAGAAGTATAAAGCATCGAATGCCCTATGTGCGTTATTTTAAATAAAGTATTTACGAAAGACTCGATTTTTTGTACATCAACCTTGAGCTTACTTATCGGACTCCACGTGTTTGCCTTATTATCTCTAACAAGGAACCTTTTATGGAACATTGAAGCAATATTTTGGTATAATACCAAACAGAAAGAAGAAATCTCATAGATTCTCATTATCAAAAACGATATAAAAAGGCAATATAAATAAATAAGAATAATATAAAAAAATAACAAAGGAATTTAGATTTTAAGAATTAAGAAGGAAAAGAAAAAGAATTTAGATTTTAGGAATTTAAGAAGGAAAAGGAAGAAAGCATTCGTAGCTTTTCCTGAGTAAAAATTAAACCACATAAAAGAGGTAACGAAGGAGCTTCAGAATCACGTGCAAATTAATCGATATTTTAATTAAAGAACGCTGGAGAATTCCCCCAGTGGGTATCGTTCGTAAAAATATCCACGGGAAGAAGTGGATACTTATTAATTAAACATGTACGCGATCCTTCGTATCGCGTGAGAATTCCGTGACTTTCGACCGGTTGATCCACGCACGGAAATAAAATCCGCGTAGGTGGCCATGCTCCATGGGAACGGTGCATGATCGATAGAGGCCGCGTGTCTGCGGTAAATCATCGCCAAACATTCGATATCCGCGAGCCCGTCGAGTGGCACGGTTCGTCCCGGGCATGCAATAACCGTCGAACATCTGCCGAAGGTTTCTCTGCTCAAAATGGGTCGCGACTTACTGGCGAAATTACGAATCGCACGCGAATATTCTTCGATCGATGCTGAGATAAATTTATTCGTACGTCGTGGTTTCAAAAGTTTGATTTATCGATGCTGATTAGAGGTACGATGCTGATTCACTGGTTCGATAAGAAGGTGGTATCGGTCTTCTGATTTTGGAAAGTAGAAGTTTACTGAACGGTACAACGGTACAACACGGTAGATAATTTATTAACTTAATGATCCATTGATTGAAAAACTCGTTAAGGTGTTAACCTACTAACAATAAGTGAATGGTTGGATGATTTGATTAACTTGGCAACTTAATAACTGAACAATTTGATTATCAATTATTGATTTACTAAATCAACGATTCTATAATTTAGTGACTTACTAATTTCTGATTTGGTGTCTCAATAACTTAATAATTTATTAACTTATTGATTTAACAATTCAATGACTTAATAGCATTCTCTGAATACTTAACTCACTGATTTAGTAACAAATTAGTTAGATAGTTTTGTAACTTACTGACTTATTAACTCGATAATTCATTAACCTAATAATTCACTGATCTTTTACTTCTTATTACTCAACAAACTTGTTGACTTGCTAACTTTTTATACATACTTAATAAACAAAAAATTTTTTTGTTTACTATGAAAACGACCAGCTAGTAGAAAGCGAGAATCATGAATGGGATCCTGAATTGAATCGGAGCTCTCTTCCTCAACCAAATGAAGGTAACAAAGGTTTCACCTTCGATATACAAATAGAGTATCAATGGAATCTACTGTACCAGCATTATTCCATAGAATTCATTGTACCGCAAACATTCTATGGAATCTATCGTATCCAATTTACGACTCTTGTCCAACATATTTTTCTATATTCTATATTTTTATCAGATGCAATGTGTTCAACTCCTAGGACCATGCTACTTCAATGATCGAAATCACAATGGTTCTCAAGCTGCAGGTGGTCTGCCTTCGAGTCGAGATATTTTATTCACGTCAGTTGTGTAATATTCTGGGTCAAAGAGATACCTCGATATCTTCAATTTTTCTAGTCCTTTTTACTTCTCGAAAATACCATGAAACGATATCACCCTGACCATCGACGTACCTACAAATAACATACAATGAAGAAGTGTATGAAAAGAAGCAATGATAACAAAAATTTTCGTTGATTAAACTGAATAAATGGACTCCTAAATTCTCGTCAGAAATGTAAGTGAAAGATATAAGTGGAAAATAGAACCCTGTAAACATGTAGACAAACCATTGGGGGATCCCCGATAAGATATCCCTAATCTACCATTTTATATATCGATTCAAACGTTTATTAACTAACGAAATTGAAAGTACAGTAATAGCTCCAATATTTGAGCACCTATTAGCCAAAAGTCTCAGCAGTCAAACGTTCCACTATTCAAGCAGGATATTCCTCATATCACTCTATAGTACAAAACTAATATTGTATGAGTTAATGTCTTCGGTATAATGATACCAAACATATGATACCATCTTTTAGAACGAAACCACAAATACCTCAAAGGATAG